CGCGTGCGTTCGGCCATAGAGCTGTCCATTGTGTCTGTCTGCGTCTCAGCGGCGAGAGAGTTTACAGTAGAGCCGCGTACAGTCTATTTCTGATCTAATACCTGTTATTTTTAAGCCCCTGGGTCGCTTTCGAAGACAGGAAACTAGCGCACCGAACTAAAAGGACCCATTCAACAGGTTGTTTTCCGTCTTTCAATGCTCTAGCCGTCCGGTTCCCCCTACGGATTTACAGGAGGAGCGAACATGCCGTTGGGACTCAGGAAAAAGAAAAACAAGTCGAGGGAAAGCTCGAACTTAGTGGAGAACGAGGAGGTGAGCGGGCACGCAGGTGTCGGGAAGTCCGCGGTGAACGGTGGCGGAGTCGGCGGACTCCCTCCTCCACCTGCCAGCCTCCGACCGAAACTCGTGTTTCACACGCAGCTCGCGCACGGGAGTCCCACGGGGAGGATCGAGGGCTTCACGAACGTCAAAGAGCTGTACAGCAAAATAGCTGAAGCGTTTAATTTAAGTCCGGATGAGGTAAATGTCAACTGTTAAATATCTAAGTGTGAACTTGAGTCAGTACGCAGGCAGGCAGTGAGTCAGGAATAAATTAGCAAATCAAAAACATGGTGTTTGCATAAGGTGCGTCTTTCTGAGTACAGGGAACTTAAAATCTCGAGGAGTCGTTTACTTTTCTTTTTTTTTTTACTCCTGAAAACACTCGTTGTAAAGAGACAATTTTACATCTTCAAATGAGTTGCCAAAATAAAAAATCTAGGCCTATATGGGTCAGTGACAGATAAGGATATTGGATATGATACAATTTTGATTCTTGGCTATTAAAAAATAAACTAGATTAAAACATTTGCTAAGTGCTTAGAAATGTCTTTCTTTTCCTAATTGTTAGTCCATTTGACCCGAACAGAACATTTTCATAAAAAGGTCTGGACTTAATGACCTTGAGGGTCTAAAGGGGTCCTCGCTGTTTTGTGGTGTAGCCTACTTGTTACATTAACAATTTCCTGCATGTTGGTTACACCATGCTGACTTTAATTTGGTGAACAAACTAATATTTAAAAACAAAATTCAAAAATGGTTCTTTATACTTTTAAAAAAAGTATTTTTATATTTCTCAGTTTCAGTGTTTGTGGTGTTCGTGCAACAAAGAATGTGTTTCAAAGTAATTTTTATTTATTTAATTCTTAATATATTTTTGAATGACTTGCAAAAAAAAAGAAAAGAAAAGATGAGCATTCTGTCATTGACCCATATACATGAATTTGAAAGCACCGCATAATTCTGTTGATCAATACAATAAATCTTCAAGATGAAATTCCAACTCTCATCGCAAAACTATTTTATGTTGTGTTGAATTAGTGGCTAATTTGATTTCATTTTTAAGTTTTTCATACAATCTGCTTATGCCCCACTGATGGTTAGGTTTAGGAGTGACATCATGCTTGCTTTTTTCCCCAAAAATCATACATTTGCAGGCTAATCACTTCATACAAATTTATATGGTAAAACCAGCACGATTTCTCAAGATAAAGTTGGAAATTCTTCATTTTTCTAAAAGTGTGAATGAATTTTGTTGACCAGATTCTTGAATTTGGTGTTTTGGACCTTAAAAGGTTCTTGAATTTAGAATTTGATTAAAAATAATTCTTGATGGAGCATTCTAGATGCTTCAGTTCAGTGTATTTGTTTCTGGGAGCATAGATACTTTCTAAATCGCTAATGTTCTTTGTTGAAGACAATAAGGCTCTCCTATGGCATCAAGTGTTAAAAAAACGTTTTGGTTGCAATTGAAACGTTTATTTTTGTGAGTGTGAGTGAATAGTATTGTCTGGCCTCTCCCTCTCATATAGCAGTTGGTCCTCATTTGAGAAAGTGTCCTACTTCTTCCTGTACTAAAAACACTTAAGGACCAGTAACCAGTCAGACCAGTAACCGGACTGTTTGGACAGATCTGTCGGTGTGTGGTGTTTTAAATGATTTAAAGGTCAGCCAACAGATTGGTTTGATTATGATAGTATTCTGAAAATAAATCGCATGATGGCCTGGTGAAGTTTATCCGTTTTGGATACCTCAATCCAACACCGTTCCTTTATGAATCTACCACTGATTATTTGCGTGTTCAAATGGTGGGTCCTGAAATTGGTATAGGAACATTGCAGGTCCTCAGAGGAAGTCCCTCACATCCTGTTATAGTGGTTACAACCCTAACAAATGATGATAAATCGCCCCGGCCTCCCCGGGGATGGAGGCTGTGCGGAGTTGTGCATACAGTATTACTCTCTTGCATGCGTTGCCTATTAATTCCTATCTATACCAGGATATACGGATGCATTTTGTAGCGAACCATAATTGGCTACTATTTGGGATTTGAGCAGTAATTTGAAAGCTGTCATATAATGGATTGTTTGTCGTACTGCCAATATCACAGCAACTTTCACCATGTCGACTTTGGGAAAATGAAGCATACCTGGTTAAAAGAGCTTAGGTTCAGCTTGCTCTCTGTTTAACGCGTTTACGACATTCATTACCTTCCCATGCAAAATTAATGCGACAAAGAGACTCCTTTTGTCAAGTGACTGGCAGGTTCAAGCCAGATTTCAGCTATCGTATGGTTTAACGCAGGTAAAAATGAAGACGTAAAGATTTATCTGTCATTTATTTTTTGCAGAACTTCACCGGTCAAAGTCTGTTTATTACCACGACACATGCTGGACTACGTGACTTCACTAAAGTGTGCTTTCATGGAGCTGAAATGTCATTTGTTTAGCATTTGCATGCAGGTGCTGATGTCTGGACGTTGTGTTGTCTGCTCGACAGCTTTCTATGTTTTTTGCAGGGTCAGTCATTTGGTAGATTGTTTGATTTAGCTGGCCTAATCTGAATATTTGCTCGAAGCCCTTCAAACTGCACCATGTTTTGATTAGTTAATTTGACTTTCTTTTTCTCGCACCAGTTTTTGTTCTGATAACAGCGAGCCAGTGAAGTGCGATCGGAAGCAGTCTCCTCATTGAGGTCCTTATTAATACTAAAACTGAACTGGAAAGCTCCCTTCTTTCGGAGTGGAAAGTATGTTTGTATTGCTAATGGAATTATAATGGACGCCCAAATAAAAGCCCCATGCATTTTCCATTAAAGGGATAGTTCACTTTGAAATTAATTTTTGATATGTTTTAGCTTACCTCAAGGGCATCCAAGATGTAGGTGTCTTTGTTTCCGCTGTAGTTTCAATTTTGATATTTTAAGGTCAAACCGTTCTTGTCTGTCAGTCATATAATGCAGGTCTATGGTCACCACCTCAAAGAGCATGCACAAAGAAGTCCAAATTAAACATGATTTAATGACTCAATGATTCTCATGATTCAATGTACACATTGATGGCCTAAGACACGAAACGAGCGGTTTGTGTGAGAAAACGACCATTTATATCGTTTTTACCTCTTGTAAACACAGCCACGTCCAAGTGATCTGAGGCCGCTGGCGCTTCGGTCTTTTCCGGAAAGCACCGGAAGTGATCTCTCGCGCATGTACGTCACTCATTGTTTACACAGAGCAGAGATTGTAGGTAAGACGGCTAATTAAAAGAGTACTAATTTGCGCTTATCCGGGATGTTTAAACCGTCGTAAAAAAAAAAAAATAATAATAAAACAATTGTATGAGTGACGTAGACGCGCGAGAGATCACTTCCGGCGCTTGCCGGAAAAGACCGAAGCGCCCGCGCCCTCAGATCACTTGGACGTGGCTATGTTTACAAGAGGTAAAAACGATATAAATACTGTTCGTTTTCTCACACAAACCGCTCGTTTCGTGTCTTAGGCCATCAATGTGTACTTACATTTACGAGTCATTAAATCATGTTTAATTTGGACTTCTCTGTGCATGCTCTTTGAGGTGGTGACCATAGACCTGCATTATATGACTGACAGACAAGAACGGTTTGACCTTAAAATATCAAAATTGTAATTACTGTGGAAACAAAGACACCTACATCTTGGATGCCCTTGAGGTAAGCTAAAACACACCAAAAATTAATTTCAAAGTGAACTATCCCTTTAAGACTGAAGAAAGCAGAGCTGAAAATGTTGACATTTTTTAAAAAATTCAAATGAGTAGATGCACATGCTTTCTTTTTTTTTAAAGCTGGATAGACAGCAGCATTGTTTATTAGTATCGGTATTATCTGATGTGGCAGGAACACACAGTTTATCTCAGTGTGACATCGGCAATTCGGCATATACGATTATTTAGTGAGATTATTTACAACCTAGATTTCTGTAATGTTTCATAGACCGTATCATCCATTGTAGATACAAGACACTGCATTCACAACCTGACTAAACACTAAATTCCAGTCAGGTCAGTGTTTATCTGGTTGAATTATGCACTGACAATGTATGCAATTCCATATTGTTGTGTTCATTAAGGAGTATTTTGTAAAGCGCAGCAAGAACATCTAAAAACATCTAAAACCAAGGAGAAGTAAAACATTTTATATTTTGCATATAAATGCCTATTTTTATGTATTTTAAAGGCATTAACAAAATGTTTTGTTGCACTTAAAGTTGCAGGTATAGACTATACTTATTAAAATGTATTTTTTTTATCCTGCGAAAATGGGCCAAAAATATTTCATGACTCATCCTGCACTACACAAATTTTTGTCCAATCAGATCTTACAATGAGAATTTCCCACCCTCTAACACCACCAGCCACTTAGTAGAATTATGGTTCAACTAAAGCATATTATTGGCCATTTTAAAAAAAAATTAAAAGGAAGTCCTTTGGATATGTCAGAATTCCTTTGTCAATATGTCAGCAATGGGGATAATAATATGTCATGGGGTTGTTAAGAATTCGTATTACCATATTTCAAAAAACGGTATTTATACCTATATTAGCTGCTGCACTGCTGATTTTAATAAAATTGTGTCCTGACACGATTACTGTATTAGATTGTGTCATCATTGAGATTGACAATTACAGTAACAAAGTATTTGTACATTTTTGTACACAAGTATCTGTGCTTTATCTTTTTATATTTATTGAGGCTATTTTTATTTTGGAAAACTTTGACTTCACTACATTCCAAAGCATAAAATCATACTTTGCTCCACTTCAGTTGTTGACTGGAGAACCGCTGAAATTGGATCAGTACAGTTCACAAATGAATTATTCATTGGTATTTTTAAATAACAGGGACCTATACATCTATATACACACATATATAAAACATACTAGCACTATATAATTTGAAACCGCTACAGAACAGTGGAAGACTAGCTCTGATTGAATCACTGAATCGAACTGGAGAACCACTGTGTAAGACTGGAAAAACTGGAAGAACTGGTTGAGGAACGACCACTCTGGAAATTACCATTTGAACTCACAATTTGAGACAAAAGTGTCACCTAACCTACATTTCTTTCCCTCATCCCCCACTCCTTCTCTCCCATGCGGAGATCACCAAAAACTCACCCACGAATCTAAATGGTTTAATGTGAAAGATTAGCATCGAGTTTTGTTCATGTTTGGTATCATTTGAAATGTCTCAGTGCGACTGGTACAAATGTCTCATTTCCAAATAAGTAAAACAAAAGGAAATAAAGTTCTTAAGAGTTAAGCATTAAACCCTCCTGTTCAAAAGGTGTAACCTCTGAATGCAAATTACCATTGTTAGCACATGTTTCCATGTGAAAGAAGTTTCTGTCTATATAAAGAAATCCAAATATTTAGTTTCTTTAGTGTGAAGAACATTCTGAAAAATCTTACGAACCCTTTTCCACTATAAAGAACCTTTTGTGGAAAATGGAAAGGTTCCATGAATGCTAAAGGTTCTTCGTGGAACCATCAATGCCAATAAAGGACCTTCATTTTTTGGGTGTATTTTGCCCCATGTCGTCTGTTTTTATATTGTCACTTACCACACATTTAGTTTTTCTTCATTTTTTTAAATGCTATATGGTATATTATTATTTTTTGTTTGCATAGTTGAATTATCAGTAGCCTAATTAAAATTGACATTTTAGCTTGTTGAAGTTTAATAATCTGATAATTTTGATAATCAATTACTTTTATAGTTTTGCTCAAGTAAACTTGAAATGGATTCATATTTTGTTAGGGTAAAGTAAAGTACCTGACTTGCACCACAAAGCTTAAAAGTAAAAGATGTGTATAACAGTAGTGAGAATAAAAAAAAAAAAAAGTCTAAATCTTTGAGGATGTTTATTGACACCCTACAAAGCATATCATATTATGTTGCAAATCTTGTCGTCCACACTGTGAACCGAGGCTGATCCTGCAGCACTCGGGGTCATTATAAAAGGAATATGATTATCAGTGTTGAAACACGTCCTTCAAGTATGTTCTTGCTGTTGTCATCTGAATGGAATGTGAGTCGCGCCTTTATTGAAACCCGTTTAGATGGTTATGTTGTAACTTCAGACGTCAGTCCGTGTATTTTGAATGATACATTTTAACATATCCTTTTACTTTATGAAATACAGGGGAAAATATGCAGAAACATGCCATTTAATGAGCCAGTTCTCCCAAAAATTATATTAATGTCTTTCCAAACCTGTATGACTTCTTTGAAACACAAAAGATGATGTATATTTTTTTAATCAATACAATGAAAGTAAACAAAGTCCAGTGTTGTTTTGGACCCCATTGACTTTCATTATATGAACAAAAATATCTGAAACATTGTAAGTTTCAGAAAGAAAGTCATAGATTTTTGGATGGACTGGAGGGTGAGTAAATGATGACAGAATTTAAAGTCCCCCTGTGGTGAAAATCAAGTTTTTAATGTTGTTTATGTCTGTGTGGTGTTTTTAATATGCTTTAAAACAAACCATGTTCAATAAGTCATTGCTGAGGATTTTGTCCTTAAAACTGCAGTGAACAAAAGATTGCTGGTGTTTCTGACGTCACAAACTACCTTGTAACCAATCACGTCAACGTGCGGGCGGGCTTTAGCATATCATTGACAGCGAACTTGCAGGCGAGTCTCAAAAGAAGCCAGGTTATCCCGGTATTCTTCTGTTGATATGAAAAATCGGGTATATTTGTATATTACGATGTTATGATGAACTATATGCCTTTCTCCACTGACGTTCTGAGTTGTTCAAAGCGTTTCTGATGATTGTTAGAAGGCAGCTGCCTGTTCCCGTTCTCTGAAATGGCGAACGGGAACATGGTTTGAGTAACATTAGCAACACATTATTTAGCTGTTTAATAACGTAGTCAAGCAAAAGGCTAATCATATAAACAATGACCGTTATGTGTCCGATGTTGTAAGGAGCGATACCATTGTGCAGCGTTTACATTAGTAAGTTGGCCGAGTGGATCTTTGAGTTGGCGTGAGTGTGTGGAGGCGGGGATAATTTGCATATTCATGAATCAACGTATACTGAATGAAGCAAGGGTGTAGTTGCATTCAAGCTATTTAAAAGTTTTACACAGGAAAAAAAGATTTTTGAGATGAGATTTAAGGGATACAGTTTACTTTAAATTGAACTATCCCTTAACAGTTGGCATGTTTGGTTTGTTGTTAATGTAAAAGTATGTTAAAAACAGTTGACCCAAGTTCACTCTCATTCGTAGGGTAAACACAGTGAAGTTTTGAAAGCTGCTAAATCCTTCCTTTACCCCACCAATGTTAATGGTTACCTATGGAAAAAATGTCGATGAGTCTCATTTTGCTGTTGTGAATGGATTTACACAGTGATATCTAAGCTGGCTGGTTAGTCAGTCGTTGTAATGAATGATTTGATGATTCTCTTCACTTCATCAACAAACATGTTGGTGTGGTGTGAAACCTGGCTGCTTCAGCATTTTGACCTGTTAAACTGTGCTAAAAGCGTATACATCACGTTTGTTCTGTTTTTGTTCCGTTATTAATGCTGGCTGAATCTTTAGGGTCTGCTCATTCATTCATTAGATCAGATTGCCCTGCCAAGGCCCCCAAAATAGCACTCTGTTACCAAAGAAACGGTCCTCGCTCTCCACTTTATTTCCACAAAGTGTTGTAGTAGATTACTATAATCCTGTATATTGGCTAACAAAGTTGTTTTGATCAGCTCAGTTGATTTCCTGCCTGTTTCAAGAATGTGCTTCTGAAAGGTCGGCCTGTTGCAATCCTGCCTGTGGGTGTGACTCGTATCGAAGGTGAAACATTTGCCAGTTGAAGGAGGTTTTTCTCATATGATGTGGGCGGGTACGTCAGAGCGTAGATCCGCCGTGTCTCTAAAAAACGTGCGATGTGTAAGAGGAAGCATGATGTCAGTCGCAGCCTTGGTAACGCAGTGTAGGTGTCCGTGAATCGGCCCACAGATCCGCCTCCAGCCTGCCAGGACGAAGCAAAGCTGGTCGTCTAGTAGCCAACAGCCGTCTCCTCCTCCCCCTCCTGTCCCTGCGAAAGCTCCCCCTTAATCCCGGGCCTTTTGATAGGCTCTGGTAACCAGGGCAACAGTCTTGAATGAGTGTCAGCTGATGTGTGTCCAAAGTGCCCGCTGTGGCACAAAAGGGGGAGAAAACAAGTCGTCTTTGTTGGAGCGTCTCTGCACCGCCAAAGGTCGCTGTAAAGAGCTGACACGGACTGTTCGTTTGCCTTACGTTAAATTGCGTCCAAAGGTTGTCCTTCGCTTACAAGCATGAGATCATGTTTACTATCAAGTCATCATGAAGCAAGTGAAATGCTTTAGTCTTTTCTTGACTTGTTATACAATACTGTGTTTAGTTGTCATCAAGTGTTCATTGGCCCGGCCCATCAGCCGTCAAACCTTAAATCTGGTGTCTCAGGTTGCCAGGTCTCATGTTTCCCCACTGGTGCCAGACACTGAAAGACATGATGCCAGATTTTTAGATGATTGACTCCAGGGTGACCCCATCTGTCAGTGTGGACATTGGTTATGGGGTGTTATGGGATTGGTGCTTTTTGCTTTTATGTATTATTGCATATACGCTAAAGTATTTTTTGATTATATTGGACATAAACTAGCTTTATAAGACACTCATTAGCATAAGTCACTTTTATTGCATTGGGTTTTTTTTATAGGGATAAAAATAGAGGTACAAAATTCTGTTTTGAATGTTGTGAAACATGTTAAGTGATTATAACTGGTAGTTGGAAAAATGTACACATTAACCAGAATGTCCTAAAGGAAGATATACAAGTACATGATTCCATGTAATTGTATCATAATTTGGAAACAGTCTGAAAAGATCTTTATGGGATCCTAAGAATCCAATTAAAATCAAACAGGATCTTGTTGGATTAACTGAAACAGGATTTTTTTTTATTATTTGTATTTGAGTCTTGTCTCCTAGATGTCTCTATCTTTGTCAGAACCCACTAATGAAAAACTCTTTTGTAACTGGACAGTTAAAGGAAATAATTATGGAGCTGTAGAAGTTTTTTTTTTCATTCATTTTGATGTCATACTGGGGAATTGCATTGGTAGTCGTGTTTTTCCTTTTGGCCACTATGTGTTCTTAAAATAATATATTTGTTGATTTGTTGACTTTGCATTGGCTTGCAAAAGTTTTGCATTTGCTCTTAAATATTTTCGCAAGCACATACAAAAGTGATAGATATAAATATAATGGGAGGGAAAAATATACAGTATGCAATGCTTTGGGGAGTGAACGCAAACGTTTTTTGTTTTTTTTTGAGCGAATGCAAAGTTTCTCTGGGGAACTCAAATGTTTTGAATGGAAACGCAAAGGCATTTAGATGTCATTTTTCCTCACATCAAATCTGCAGAGCTTTGTTTAAGACTGCAGTGAAGATTCACATTTCTGTTTTATCTTCTAAAATGTTTAGTGTATTTGGTGACGTGTACAAAATTTTAATATAACAAATGAAGAATTTATATTTCTGACTGTGCGATTAGCTACTAAATTAAAGTTAGTAAAATTGCATAAATCCTTATTGTTCTCTCTGGATGTTTTATTTTTTTAAAGTGCTGTGTCACTATAGTTGAAACTCTCCTCTACATGTATTACAACAGATCCTATTTTGCACACTCAACACCCACAAAATTGATATGGAAAAGCTGCTGGGAGGGCAGATAGGACTGGAGGACTTCATCTTCGCTCACATAAAAGGGATCAAAAAGGAGGTGGAGGTGCACAAAACTGAGGATGCACTTGGGCTCACCATCACAGACAATGGAGCTGGATACGCCTTCATAAAGGTAGACTCTCAATGATGCTTCTCTCTAGAACAGGCTGTTATTATGGGATGCCGGCCCTTTAGGAGGTAGTTTTCTGAGCGTAGCGCACATACTGTGGCTTGCCCGTAGTACTAGCACTTCCCATGTACAGCCAATGATTTGCATGTTTTTGAAAGTAAACAAATGTAGTGCCTGAAGAGAATTTTGTTGTAATATAAAAATGTTATTTACCCTTTTGTCCGGTGTTGCTTTTGTTTGGCCATGCTTTGATTGAGAGACCTTAATAATATAATTATAAGTTAGAATGACTTTGAAAGATCACATGCTGTAGTTGTAGCTCTGAACGCTGGGTTTTTATCTTTAAAGAAAAGTGTCAGTTGTTGTTCCAGACCCATTTTTTGAATTGTTTATACATAATTAAGCCTATGGTTAAAGTTAAAGTAGACCTAAATGTATTTGCTCAATTGCTACTTTTAACATGTTAACATTCTTAAATCTGAAGCATGTGTGTGTTTTCCGTTTGGCAGCGTATCAAAGAGGCCAGTGTGGTGGATGGGGTGAAGGTGATCTGTGTGGGAGATCATATCGAAAGCATTAACGGAAAGAACATAGTGGGGATGCGGCACTATGAGGTGGCGCGAATGCTGAAGGAGCTGCCGAAAGATCAGTCCTTCACCCTCAAACTGATGGAGCCCATGAAAGCCTTCGGTTTGTCATTCATGCTTCTTGTTAAAGTACTATTTTTTTGTATATTCTTAATTTTTAATCTTGTACGTGAGACTGATGTATGGAAGAAAACATAGAGTGCAGCAGTAGGTTTCTGGAGTAAATATCCCATTCATTTTCTCCATAGAGAATTTTATTTTTAACAAAATATAAACCAATGAGCTCTAAGTGATGGTATTTGCTTCTCAAGAAGCCACAAGTCAATGATTTCAAATTGATTTTAAAAGAAAAAATGTTTAATTGCTGAATTCCCAAATGAGGAACTACACTACCCACAATCCCCTAGAGAGATCCACCAATGAGAGAAGCCGTGGCAATGGAAACTGCCGCAAAAGAGCTCGGCAGCGAACGCTCACTCCCACGAGGCATTGCGATTTCTCCTGACTTCTTCATGTGATCTATTGAATGTATAAATGTAGATTTAATGTTAAAAAAATAATGTTCTTTCACTTGGCAGAGATGCTTGAACCAAGGTCAAGAGGAGGCGGAGGCGGAGGCAAATCCTCAGGAGAGGGCAAGATCGGCACTGGCAGAGAAACGCTCAGGTTGCGCTCAAAGGGTCCTGCAACCGTCGAGGAGATGGTAACTGTGTTTTACCAGTGTTGCCATAGCTTGTAATAGTATTAGCACTGATAATCGAGCTGTAACATTCACTTAAAGTTGAGAGTATATCTAATGCCTTTTCTATTACTCTACAGCCCAATGAGTTTGAAGAGAAGGCAGTGAAGAAAGTGGATGATCTTCTTGAGAGTTACATGGGCATTCGAGACACTGAATTAGGTAAGACTTCTGTAGTGTGCATCACCTATTTTTACAAGACCGTATAAAGGTTTAAGTTTGACTTAAAAGTGTATTTTAACTAAATACACTACTGTTTGAAAGTTCGGGATCTGTTAGATTTATGTTTTTGAAATAAATCTCTAACGCTCACTAACGCTGCATTTATTTGATCAAAAATACAGTAAAAAACTGTAAGAATGTGAATATGATTACAATTGTACTTTTTTTTTCTTTTTCAAATGTAATTTATTCCTTCAATTTTCAGTGTCACATGATTAATTAGAAATCATTCGATATACTGATTTGGTGCTCAAGAAACATTTCTTAACCCTCTGGGGTCCTTCGGCCCAAATGGACCCGAAGCATTTAAATAATTTTTAAAATAAAATCATAGCTTTATCCGAATGGTCCGAAATTTGGTGACTTTGTTGGTGCTTGGTATATGAACACCCAAAAAAATTGGGGACAGGATTTGAATAGTCTAAGTGGTTGTAAAAAAAATTGTCACACTCAGGACCTTCGGGTCCAAATGGACCCGCATGGGAAATGAATGGGAAATTGGCAAAAATGTGAAAATACAGAGTTTTTTTGTGCGTACAATCTACAAATCAGCCACGATCCAGAAAAAAAGCACACAACAGTGAAGGGGTGAATCTATAAAACATCAAGAGTGCAAAACAGACACATCCACACACACACACACACACTTTTATACACATACACTAATAAATTCAGATTACATATGGGTTTTGAATTTTTAAAATGCTCAGTTTGTCCACCAGATGGCATCCATCTCATTTCAAAACTTGCTTTCATGAGGCCTAGGCTTGACTCTAAAATGAAATACAGCTTTAAAAAAATAAAAAAATATATTTTTTAAATTTCTATTATATTCAATGGGGAAAAAATGGGTCATAATTATTGCATTAATATTAATTATAAATTATTTTTATTTTTGAAATTATCTCAAAACACCAAAAAAGAAAAGAAAAAATATTATAAAAAACAAGTAAAAAAAATATATATATATATGATTTTTTTTAATAAATATTAATCCCACCCTTCCGGCCCATTTGGACCCGAAGGTCCTGAGTGTGACTCTGAAATGAAGGACCCCAGAGGGTTAATATCAGTGTTGAAAACAGCTGTGCTGCTTAATATTTTTGTGGAAATTGTGATGCATTTTTTTTTCTGGGTTTTTTGATGCAACTGAAAGTTTAAAATAACAGACTTTATTTGAAATATAGTAGTCTTTTGTAACATTATAAATGCCCTTTGCTACTTTTGTTTAGTTATTATTATTTTTTTGTATGCTGAATATGCTTTTATTTAACCAGGTTTAAAAAAAAAAAAATCTCTTTTACAAGAGTGAACTGGCCAAGAGGGCAGCAACAAATAGCATACATATACACGTTCACAACATCAACCGAGTCAATACAATCAAGGATCACAGGAAAAGTTAATAAAATGACCTTAAACTCATTCAGTGATGGAAGCAAGATTATAGTAGCCTATACACTCACTGGCCACTTATTAGGTACTCCTGTTCAACTGCTCATTAACACAAACATCTAATCAGCCTAATATCTAACCATTATAGTAACTCAATGCATTAAGGCATGTAAACATGAGCTAGGTTTGAAATCACCCCTCATTCTTATTCCCTACATTACTCGAGGGAGTGAATGAAATCTTAATTAGACAATTTAATAATCAATTAAAAAGGAATGTGTACCTGTATGATATCATGGCGCAGCCACATTGGACCAGTTGGATGATTAATCTGCTGGTGCCATCTTCTGGTGAGACGCGGGAATTCATTTGGCACACGAATCTCACAGTGCATTATGGGTATTCTCTAGCCATTGAGTGTACATCAGTTGTACACTCGTTATTGTGTTGCCATATTTAAGGGCAAAGGGGGCGATATCAGACACAGACATGGTCAAGATGATCGGTTGAAGTTCAAACTGAGCATCAGAATGGGGAAGAAAGGTGATTTAAGTGACTGAACGTGGCATGGTTGTTGGTGTCGAACGGGCTGGTCTGAGTATTTCAGAAACTGCTGATCTACTGGGATTTTCAGGCTGCTGGTGTAATGGTGTGGAGGATATTTTCTCGGCACACTTTGGGCCAGTTAGTACCAATTGATCATTGTTTAAATGAGCAGCCGACCTGAGTATTGTTGCTGACCATCTCCATCCCTTTATGAGTGTTCCCATCATCTGACGGTTACTTCCAGCAGGATAAACACACTATGTCACAAAGCTCAAATCATGTCAAACTGGTTTCTTGAACATGACAGTGAGTCACTAAACTCAAATGGCCTCCACATTCACCAGATCTCAATCCAGTAGAGCAGCTCTGAGATGTGAAGGAACGGGAGATTCACATTATAGATGTGCAGTCGATGAATCTGCAGCAACTGTGTGACGCTTTCATGACAATATGAGCCAAAATCTCTGAGGAATGTTTCCAGCATCTTGTTGAATCTGTGTCACAAAGAATTAAGGCAGTTCTGAAGGCAAAAGTGGGTCCAATCCGATACTAGCAAAGTGTACCTAATGAAGTGGCCAGTGAGTGTGTGTTTGTATTGGATAAGCTGAGAGACAAATAGGATGGAGTGAAACCACAGATAGGCTTATAAATAAAACAGTACCAGTTAAAACTTCTCTGCGTGTACTGAGATGGTATCTTGGCCTTATCATTTAACATGAACTGATGTTTTTGATAGCTACAATAAAACATAAAGCACTGTTAAAAAAATAGTTTTTTTAGATAGTGTACTGGAGCATTCATTAAAAGCAGATCTGCATAGTCCAATAGTTGTAAAAAGTTTCCAGATGCCAAGCTGAAAAGAAAATAAAGTTCTGTTTCTAAAATAAAACCCACATTTAAGCCTAAGTTCATAAATTAATTTATCAGTATGCAGCTTAAAAGATCATTGACTATCAAATAAAATACCCAAGTACTTATAACTGGCAACACATTACTTCTTTTTTTTTTCCCTGGGAGGATTTAATATCAGGAAGATTAATGGGTAGAGCTTTGGAGTTTTCAAATAAATTAATTTAGTTTATCTGTATTTAAAACCAGTTTAAGTTAACACAGACAAGACTGTACAATATCAAACGCTGATTGCAAGTATTGAAGAGCTAGTGAAGCTGATGATGCACAACAATTAATGTCAGTATCATCTGCATAAAGATGATGCATAGCATTAGGAATGTTATCACAAATATTACTTGTATACAAGGAAAATAAAATGGGTCCTAGAACTGACACCTGAGGTACTCCTTCAGATACCATCCTTTAAAAGCACACACTGAGTTCGTACTGAAAGGTAATTGGCAAACCATTGTATAGCATATTCTGAGAGACCAACAATGGAACGTTTTAAGGATGCATGATCAACTGTGTCAAAATCTGTAAGCTTTGTTTACAATCCAAGGCATTAATAATGTCATTTTAATAGCAGCAGAAATGGTGCTATACTGAAAAGGAGAAAGACGATTATTTATTTCCAGGAATTTTTTTTATTGTTTCTTCTCTAGAAGTATTTGTTTCTTTAAAAAAAATATAAAAATCAATACATTTGAACCCATATCCACGTGAACCCATAACATTTGAATTAACTTTTTTTTGTGTAAAAATGGACAATTGTTAAATTGTATGTGTATGTAATGTATGTGTATTTATGAATATATATGATAAATGTTAACATTATACACACACACACACACACACACATATATATATATATAGTGTGTGTGTGTGTCCTTAGATTTAAAGACAGTGCTAAATGAAAATTAATAATACTTAATACTTGAATACTTAAAGTAACCATATACCATATTCAGTGCATATTTGGGACAGCAACATAGATAATAAATTTAATTTACTTTTGTATATCAAATAATTGTGGTACTGTGTTGTGTAACCACACAATGTCCAGTCTAATATCTGCTTGCCGAAACAAGACGGCTGACCTTTGCAATGTAATTTGTAAACATTGGTTCGTTGCATTAACAAATGTTCTGAGTATTGAGTATTGCAAAACGGGATGACTTAATCTTCCTTCTCACTTCTGCACAGCGGCCACGATGGTGGAGGTGGGCAGAGACAAGAAGAACCCTGACGAGTTCGCCATGGCTCTGGACCAGGCTCTCGGTGACTTTGCCTTCCCGGATGAGTTTGTGTTTGACGTCTGGGGAGCCATCGGTGACGCCAAACAGGGACGGTTTTAAACGCTGCTACATGCACACACCACCATACACTGAAAAACTGCACAGGATCCCCTTGATTTCAGCTGTTTATAGCTAGCATGCATGCAGAACATTTGACTTTATGTGACAGATTTTGTTTTACAAATAAAAACTAAAAAATAATAGTAAATATCACCACTGTATTTTTCATCACATAATACAATCTCAAGCCTTTAAAAAAAATCTCCAACAGCATTTAGTCACCAAGTTTTGACCTATTTCTGTGGGTGTATATGATATTTTACACAAGCAAAGGGAAAGGGTGATGTTTGAAACTTGTTTTGCATAGAGAGAATTTTGTATAGAATAATGGATATACATCAGTTGTCTTTTTAGAGCTATTTTAGACTTTTTAATTTATTTAATAAAGCGATAAAACGTTTGATTTTGGAAAAAAATTGCAGCATCAATAGCTGATTCAGAATTCAGGATATACACATGAACATAAAAACGTCATATTAACCATTAAAACGGTGCCATACACTTAATTTAAGAAATTCCACAATCACAAATGTTGATTTTGTTGTTTTGAGTATATTGTAAAATACAATCCATAAGGGATCACTTTGTATGATAGACGTATGTTTATTTTTGTGTGCCTTCACTGTTGTGTTGTCAATTTAATTTTGTATGAACAATTTCTATTGCGCTCAAATCACAAGATTTGTCTTTGCCTGATTTTTTTTCACATTACTTTGTGAATTTGATCATTCGCTGTTGATGAAATAATAAACTGTTGCCTATCTAGTTCTCGTATATTATTTTAACATAGCATATGGTTTTTTAACATATGGAAGATTGTTGTTTGTCATTCAAGCCACAACGTGTCTTTTAATTCTAATTTAAAGCACTGCATTGGGCTCAAAGTGTTGTGTGTTTGCTCTTACTGTAGTAGAGAAGTGGAACAGAGGGAATATCTGGATGAAGACTGCCCTCTGCTGTATCGAAAAGTTATTTGTTTTTTTAAATAACTCTTTCAGACGTAACCGCTCGGTAATGTGGAAATGATATATGAACATAATAACGGTAGAAAAAAAACCCGTTAAACTGGGTTCTATATAGAATACAAAGGTTCTTGATTCCGTTTTAGAGAACACTGTCAAAAACGTTCTATATAAGGAGAAATATCTAGAATGATTGCATAATACTTTCATGTTACACTGGTTTACTTTTTTTTTTTTTCCTAGTGATAAAGTCTATTTATGAGTCCATTCAATTTAATCAAAATAAACAAATTAATCAAAACAAAATTGATTAAAACTAATTGCGTAAAATGATCCCATGATGAGAACCCTTAAAAGTGTCTTAACCTTTTCTTCCAAGAGTGTTCCAATAAGACAATTTCAAAGGAAAATTCCTCCAAAGGTTTGGAAACCTTAAATCATCAAAAACAAAATCATACTTTTTGGTCTTTTTGTGTTTACACCACCTGTCAAAAGTTTGGGGTTAGCATTTATTTGTATCTGAAATCTTTTGTTACATTATAAAGGTCTTTACTGTCAATTTAGATCAATTGAATGCATCCCTGCTGAATCAAATAAAAAATAAATAAACTGAGCCCAAAATTTGAATGGTATGTAGAGATCAGACTTATGTATTATAATTGTATTATTTTTTTAAACTGTTGTTGTCAACATTTGCGTAAACATAATTTCTATTGTGCTCGAAATACAGCTGACACATCATTTTTTAATTTGTTTTTATAAAATCCAAAAACACCAAGGAGAATGGCCTGAGAGCAAATATTTCCATAAAGTACCTTTGGGAAACTAGTCAAACATCAGTCACTCCACTCTCTATATAAGCTAGCACTGAAATAACTACATTACAATATTTTATATCAACTTTATTTGAAGCCTCATTTTACATATTGGTAAAAAATACAGTATGGCGAAGAAAGACAATTCCCTCAATCCCAAAAACAAACAAACAAAAAAATTCCCAGTTTACATTGCAGTCCTTAAATCACAAGTATTGTCAATAGTAAAAATCTCTTTTTAAACCAAAGGCAACTCCATATATTGAGGACTAAAACTTTTCTAATACACATTTCTAATAGCCTTAACATAATAGATCTGTCACGCTCATGAAAACAAATCATATGTTAGATTTAGGTGGGTACAGTTTTGGGGATTGTAAGGCCCTTCATATATGCGACTGGGTAACTGGATTTAGTTTCACCGCAGCTTGCAAGATATGGCTTGGAAGCACAAGAATCGCCTGTGTTAAATGTTTCTTAGTCGGACAAAATGTGGAGTGCCTTGAGAATGAAGTCGCTTTCGACATGAATAATCAAAAAAGGACACGCAAGCTTTGAATTTGAAAGAAAACAAAAACTTTTTTTAGCACCCTTTATGTGACATGGACAGTAATTATGCTTTGGTTCTCAACGTAATAAACCACAAAGTAATCAACCGCAAGCTGCGATATCTGGAAATGTAATCAGTAGATGCGTTCTGAATTCCTTCATTTTTGAAGCTTCTTGTGCTATATAGCAGGTCAAATGAAATCCCAGGAGGAGTTGAGGTTGGAGATGAACAGATGTATAGATGGATGGATGGATCGATCTAGTGTGACCAGCGGAGAGATATAGTGTTCCGGTTGAGATCTTTCCATGCCACTTCTTCTGCTCTCAGAGTTCGTCACCAACGTGAGAGTTCCTGAAGGCATCTCCAGTCAGCTTCTCTTGAGCTTCCTTCATGCTAGCCACAACTGCACATAATGGAAGAGACGTCAAGTCAAGTCATCATCATTTATATAGCGCTTTTAACAATGGAGATTGTTTCAAAGCAGCTTTACAGAGATAAACATACAATTTACGGTAACAGAGATTGTGTTGGCTTTATAGCGATTTTTGAATAATGTTATTTCCGGCTAAAGTTAGTTTTGATTGATTCATCTCCAGCAAAATTATCATTTGTTATTACATTAGGGCCCACTATGACGACGGCGTTCTCTCTAAACAGACTTTAAACGCGAACCTGTGACCTGATGGCGTTCACATGCGCATTAAGAATTGATTCTATAGTTATATTAGTTTGAATATATGTGCGCAGGTTTGTAATTTTCCTACAAACCATGCCTAAACAAACTACTTGTCTTGCCTATACACGTCAGGTCAAGGAACATTTCGTCACATTGCACTTAAAGGGATACTCCACTTTTTTTGGAAATAGGCTCATTTTACAACTCTCCCAGAGTTAAACTGTTGAGTTTTACCGTTTTTGAATCCATTCAGCCGATCTCCGGTTCTGGCGGTACCACTTTTAGCATAGCTTAGCATACATCATTGGAGTGGACAAGACCATTAGCATTTCTAAAAAAAAAATGACCAAAGAGTTTCGATATTTTTCCTATTTAAAATGATAATGTAATGATATGACGCAGCACCTGAAAATAGTTCCGTTGTGTTGACGGAAGGTGGCCTATTTTCAGGCGCTGCGTCATATCATTACGCCTGCTGCTCTCATGGTACGGCAGTAAAGTTTCTTGATTATTACGCAGGAATGAGAGTATAGTTCCTAGCCATATCAGCCTAGAAAATCGCAACTTTACATTTTCCGTCGGTCTTAGTGCACGATGTAACTACAGAAGAGTCAAGTTTTAAATAGGAAAAATATCGAAACTCTTTGGTCATTTTTTTTTTAGAAATGCTAATGGTCTTGTCCACTTCAATGATGTATGCTAAGCTATGCTAAAAGTGGTACCGCCAGAACCGGAGATCGGCTGAATGGATTCAAAAACGGTAAAACTCAACAGTTTAACTCTGGGGGAGTTGTAAAATGAGCCTATTTCCAAAAAAAGTGGAGTATCCCTTTAAGTCTCATTTGGATTTCAAATGTTATCTTCAGAATGTACTGCACACACTGTCAATCCTGTTTTGCTTTGCTATTCGAAATGCACGGTACACTATACGAAGCAAAGTGAACGAAAACTAAAATTCAGGCAAAGCTTAAAGGGTGATGTTAAAGGGTTAGTTCACCCAAAAATGAAAATTCTGTCAGTAATTACTCACCCTCATGTTGTTCCAACCCCGTAAGACTTTCGTTCATCTTCCGAACACAAATTAAGATATTTTTTATTAAATCTGAGAGCTGGATCACTCCTCCATAGGCTTCTTAAGGGATCGAAGCTGGCCGGCCCAAAAGTTATGAAAGACATCGTTAAAATAGTCCGAGTGACTACAGTGGCTCAATCTTAAGTTTATCAAGCGACGAGCATACTTTTTGCGCGCAAAAAAAACAAACAAAAATAACGACTTTATTCAACTATTCATTTCCTTCTCTGTACGGCCGTGATATTCCCTTAAGAAGCCTATGGAGGAGTGATCCAGCTCTCAGATTTAATCAAAAATATCTTAATTTGTGTTCCGAAGATGAACGAAAGTCTTACGGGGTTGGAACAACATGAGGGTGAGTAATTACTGACAGTATTTTCATTTTTGGGTGAACTAACCCTTTAAGTCAATACAGTGAGTGCATTATTTATGGTATTACCAATTCAGGCTCATTGGGGAAACAAAAAATATATATATTTAGTTGTTTCCTGCATATTCCGCAACACTTTCAAAGTAAAATGTCTTACCTTGATCTGCATTGCTGTAGAAGTACTTGTAGTTTGGGTTTCCATTCTTGTTTGTGATCTCCGAGTGGACTTTACCAGTGGGATCTAACAAAGAGCAAAAGACATTTTTTTTCTCCATCTATGTTGTGACAGTCGCCTTGGCCATTTACTGACACCTAGTGCCGTGGATGTAGCATCACACGAGTAAACTGTTTTGTTACTTATGATATTGTAGGCTTAATTTGTTCTGCTACTGTGCAATAATGTGAGGGTCACTGAGATAAAGGTAGTCATATTTGGCTGGTTATGTGATGATAACATTTCACCACCCATTAAGACACTGACTCCTCCCTCCCTCCATGTAAAATGAAATAAAACTGCTTTTATTAGGCCACTAATATAGCCTTCATCAAGATAACTGATGAGATATCTGTAGGAATAAACCTTTTTAATGATAAAGGAAAGGAATCCACCTTTAAGCAATGGTTGGTGTTCTGAACTAGAGCATTTGCTTAGCCGATTTGTTTATGTATATAACCTACCCAGGAAAAGTATTCTGGGAATGTAACCACCATCTGGGCTGAAGGCCTCATCTTTAGGCTCCTCTTCATCCTGTAGCCACATGGGACATGCAATGAGAAGATTAATAAATGCTGTAGAAGTGCAGTTCATTATGAGTTCATTTAACTAAAGTAGTTAACTAATGAAACCTTATTGTAAAGTGTTACCATATAAATAATAATAAATGAATACAGGAAAATAATACTCGCCTCCAAGTTAATCATGACAAAGTTGTGGGCCAACTCAGAGATGTCCTTCGATTCAGCAAACTTGGGCTTTAGTGCTAAAGTAATTTTTTACAACATAATGATTTATGTATACACTTCAAGGTAACAGAATAAGCCGTACATACACTACTGTTCAAAAGTTTTAGGTCAGTAAGATTTTTTTTAAATATATTAATAGTTTTATTCAGCAAGAATGCATTACATTGACCAAAAGTAACAGAAAAAAAAATCTATTTCAACTAAATGCTGTTCTTTCTATTAATCAGAGACAGAGACTGCTGAAAATATATATTTTTTTTTTACATTTTCTACAAAAATATTAAGCAGCACAACTGTTTTCAACATTGACAATAATATGAAATGTTTCTTGAGCATCAAATCATCATATTAGAATGATTTCTGAAGGATCATGTGACACTGACGACTGGAGTGATGACGCTGAAAATTCAGCTTTGCATCACATGAATAAACTAGTCTAAAATATATTCAAATAGGAAAAGAGATATTTTAAAATCTAATATTTTACCTTACTGTGAATTATTTTTTATATTGTACACATTACTTTTTATATTGTTTTTGTTTTCTTCTCAAAAACATTAAACAAAAATATTACTGACCCCAACCTTTTGAATATTATTTTGAAATACTTTAGTATTTCCATTCTTATGACAAATATTCTGACCGAAGACTCAAGCAGCCACATACCTTTACAGGCGCCACACCAAGTCTTGTGAACAATGACCATCAGAGGGAGTCCACTGGACAGAACAAGGTCAGAATTATGTTCGAAAATCACAGATACAGTAGGCTTTATAGGATTACTAATGACCTGATTATATTTCTGAAAGTCTGGTACAGGCCTACATTTCATAGAAATATTTAAACCACAACGTTACAGAGATGAAAGGGTATTACAGTCATATATACCTTGCTTCAGCCTCCTTCTTCCCATCTTCAAGGCTCCTCCAGTGAATATGGTCCCCAAATCCTTTAATAAACACAAACAAATGCATATGTAACATGATACATCCGGTTGAGAAGAACCAGTGTACCTGGAACAAGCCAGGACTATAACATCAGAACAAAGAGATCTGACACAAAACACCTGTGATCAGAGATCCCATCAAATTATTTCATCCAATTCCCAAATGCAATGACTGTTCTCTGACTTCGAGGTTCAGCATTCATAACTCTAAATTCATCTGATCATTTATGATCACTTATGGATTGCAAAATCCCACCAACTCAGGTTAAAGATGAGCTCACATCTGAATAAAACACACTGATTCTACTAAATACGGAGATAGATATACTGTAACAACAGATAGTCACCCTTACTAAGATAGTAGTAAGTGAGTTTTATCTCGGTCAGTCGAGGCATTAGATCCGCGTTCCGGGTCAGAAGCCGGTGGTCTGACGCTAGCACGGCTAGCTTTGATAGGGATTGTTCTAGATCGATTGTCTAAATTCTTTGACATTTTTTACCTCGTCCATTGTCATCAGCTAAGACCTCCCCGAAATGTGATGCAATAAAAACCAGTATAAATGAAAGCAGCGTAATGTTGAGTAAAGACGACGGCATTTTCATTCCGATGGTTGTTAGCCTTGAGCTGCCTGGATGTGACGGAGAGAACCCGGCCGCTAGGTCCTAAATCCTGCCCGAGAAACTCTAAATGGAACAGAGTTACCATATTCTTCTGGGACCCTGACCCAGAATAGACATGTGTCCACGCACTGACCACTGTAGTGGACATTATATTTTAGTGAATTTCTCTCTAACACCATACATGTCAGTCTGGATGTCCTGTAAGGAGCACACTCAGGGCTTTTCAGAGATATGAGGTTGGAGGTTTCACCATGAAACCAACTTCTCCTTGGTCTTTAAAATTGACATTAATTTAGTGATCAAATGTAGCACTCTTATGGAAATGTGATAATACTAATTATCATTTAAATTGGACTACTTTTCAAATTGTAAATCAACGTCTCAGGAAAACGTTATGGGATTTTTAATCAGGATGACTTTCTGTTACAGAACAGGGCATCAATTTCACACATGTCCACTGTAGTGGACACCAGGACTTAAATCATTATCAAGCATTTTGGGAAACACAACAAGTAAATAGGGAAATAAATTATACATCAATATTTCTATTAGATATTACCTATTATTAAAATGTTGCCAATTATTACTCCCCTTATTACATTTGATTTTTCATTACATGTTGCCCTACATTAATAAGCGAATTAGATACAGTGTAGATATAGCCTACCATTGTATTGAATGGGAATATTCATTTAAGTTTTTGCATATAAACATATAAGTATTTTGCATATTGCACAAAGTAAAATGGTGCATCAATTCATTCTGTTATATCTTACATAGTTGAGAATCATCTTTAAAAAAAAAATTGGTTAAAAATATACAGAAACCCAAAAATTGATTGGTGAATGAAAAAAAAAATCATTTTTCAAAAATGTTTTTACCATTTATGCTTTAAACAATGTGATAACATGAAAAAATACTGAATTCAAAAAACTTTTTCTCAGGAGGATATGTCAAGAATGATTTCCCTGTTATTCAGAAATTAAAATTTAATTAAAAAGGCATAGCCAATGATGTGCTTGAATGTCCTTCAAAACTCTCTTTCCCACTGTCACCCTCACACGAAAGACAACTCTGGTTGTGCTCCAGAAATTGCTCTAATAACCTAATTTCTCTTCTCTAAAATGACCTAGAATCTCTTCTCAAAGGCAATTTTTTTGGTAGCATCAACAATATGATTGCAGTTATTTATTTGAAGTGTTTATTGTAGTATAGGTTGCATTATGTATAAATAACAAAATGATTTCTTCTTTTCAGAAAATGAAAACAGCAATATTTTACAGAAAGGGCAAAAGGAAGAGTGCAGAATTAGCTCTTCCATGTGATGAGAGTGAGGTTGAGTTAGCCTTCAGTGACTGTGAACATGTGAGGGAGAATCTTCAGAGTCAGAGGCAGAAGTAACAGGTATGATATAGTAAAGAATAGTGTGTGTTAATGTGTAAGTGCATGCCTATATGTGTATGTGGCAGATTTTGATGGAATTAAGATTGGATGTTTAAATTATATAAATCAATTATAAAATAGCAATTTCTAAAAGAAAAGTGCATTTGAAAGAAAATCATAATTTTATTGAAAAACTACTTTTTTGACAATTTTCCATTGTGGTACAGCGTTGCCATATGGCAAGGTTTCCCTAAGTACAAGTGTAGGGACGCTTGTACTTAGGGAAACCTTAAAAAGTAAGTAAAAACACACATAAACTATATATTGTCCAATCGTGTGTTTATTGTCTTCACGTTTCATCAATCAAAACATTTCTGCTTTTTATTCAGCTGCTGCTACAGCAAAGGAATCGCTGGATGATTTCCTGGAACATCATAAGTTATTACTTCTACGAATCTGTTTTGGACTTTCTGTGAGAGAGTGCACTCCGGCTTCGAGTACGAATGAAGAGCTCCATAACGTTCAGATCGCATCGTTTTGCATAAGATTAAAGCAACAGCTCACGCATAGACTATCGTGTCTCTTTGAATTTAAATCTAGATTTATTCACATTGGCCTTTATGTGAAAACAGTTGACCGAAAAAAGTGTAGGGGACATGTCCCATCCCATGGAGTTTACCCTGGGTATCACCAGCCGGATCTCCTTGTCGAGTCCGATCCAAAACCCCTCAATGAGCGTGATGCCATTGCAGACGGTGCCGATAAACTCCTCCACATGCTCCTCTGGTCCTTCCTCCTTGGAAAATACAAATCATGACCCCCATGGGACTGTTAAACCTCCCCATCCGAGGTATGTTGATGTACGCAATCTCTATAATAACTTGTTTGGGGTCTGGTATTCTGTAACCTTTAGGTCCAGATGATGAAGAAAAAGGTTCCAATGCAAAAGTATTTATTAAATAAAACAAACTCAAGTAATCCAACGGTAAGAAACAGGCAATGTACAGCACGTGACAACGACAATACCGGACCACTGAAGTGAGCACAAAAAAGGGAACTTAAATAGGTACACAGTGATGATCAGACAATGACAAACAGCTGTGATGATTAATAAGTGTCCATGACAACTAAAGACTGGCGGGAAACTAGGAACAAAGAAAATACAGGAAACAGCTGGCAACTGACGAAAACTAAAAGTCCATGAAGGTGAAACTAAACATATACAGTTTGTAAAAAAGTATATGTTCTACAGTCGTAATCGAAATTATTCAACCCCCATTGCAAATCAGGTTTATTGGCAAAATGTACAGACTTTTCAGCTTTTTGCAATGAACAAATCAAACAAAATAATTGAAAAAGCTCAACAAAACAAATGCTTCAAGTGGTTTCCCCAAATTCAACTGAAAATGCAATTTGTAATGACTTCTGCCGTCTCAAAATTATTCAACCCCCTCAGATTCAACCCCCTTCAGATAAAACATCAGCTTTATTTGTGTGTACAGTATGACACTCTCAACCTTCTATATATTAGTATTTACTTCAACTTGTGGAAAAGCTTGCGATGAACTTTGATTCATCGTGTGGTTTTCTCTACCCTCTTTGTTATTATGGAGGTTGTCAGTATATGTTAAAAGCACTTATTGCACGGCTCTGTGGAATACTTAATTCTATTTGGTCAATCGTGCCATCCAGCGGTAAATCAATAACAACCGGTAAAAACACAAGCTCATCCGGGATACTGTCACTGAAGTCTGCGCTTTACACATGCTAGGAATGTTTTTTTCTTGTGGAAGTTTTCCAATTGGTGAGATAAAAAAATATTAAAACTCAAATCAATGTTTTGTGTACAGTTATTTAATTATGTCACCCGGTATCACGGACTCGCTCTCTTGTTTCATACAAACGCAGCTGCTGCCATTTTGCGACGATTGTCTTGTATGCTGTAATGCTATACAGCCGCTCTGGAGTAAACCGCGATGTCATTGTCCAGCTCAGTTCAGTTCTTGTGTAATAGTGTCAATACAGGCAGATCAATGTTATTGTTGACTATTAAATTGAATGTTACATTTAATGTCCCCAACTAAGCAAGCCAAGCCAATGGCAACACAGGTGGAAAAAGGCGATATGGACAAAACCTGTAACAAATAACTGATCCGGCTCAACAGGGACCCGGTCCACAATGGCCCGTCTGCCACGCAAACAACACAATCACTGTTCTAAAAGCAACCCAGACTTCAGAGCGCTTTTTATTCAATCTGTCTCACAAAGCCGTAGGGAGCGAGTGAAGGCTTTTAGCTCTTAGAAAAATGTCCAACATCAGTACATCTCTTTCCTACCCGCAGGTAACATAAGACCAAGTGTCAGCAAAGTTTTTGCAGTGTGTCCCATGAATCATTCATGGTGTCCCATGAGTTCAGAAAGGTTAAGATTGTTGCCCTCTATCAGGTCGTGTGCTTTCAGACAGGTTGCTGTGTAAGCTGTCAGTAACTCCACAATAATCGTTCTCACACGTTCATTTCATCTGAATGATGGACTTACTTAAGGAAGACCAGGGGTGACTGTAACAGAGGACAGTTGCACAAGGGATGACCCTTTTTCTGAGAAGACATTTTGTATAAAACATTGTTCAATACTTTGCTTCTGCTGTCTAAAATGAATATGCTTTCGAATTTAAAGTTACTGTCGGATCCAGTAGCCTCAGCATTGAATCCTCTTTTATTTTCAGTCTCTCTAAAAAGCGAATGTCGAACTTAAAGTTGTTTAAAAAAAAAACAAAGCAAACAAATGAACAGAGTCTTACTGACACAATCTGGTTTTAACGAACTTTCTTAAAAATAAAGTTCATCCATACTTTCTTAATATTAGGATCAGAAGGAAGGCAAAGGCAAAGACTTGGCACTTTAAGACCACGTGTAATCCTCAGAGGCATCTCTATTGTTGTGTCTGGAGTAATCCTGTGTTTGCACATCTCTCTCGTATTTACTCACCTCCTGCTACATGCGTGAATCAGTGGGTGGGGCTAAAGAGGCAATGATGTAGAAGTGGGCGTTGATCTTCTGCAGAGGCGGTCTTTCGTTGCACTATGACGTCACACTGAGACAAAATCCAAAATTAGTTGTTTTCAATAAAAGCTGTTTTTAGGCTCACAAGGAAGTTTTGAGTTCTGAAACAGGATATTTTTTAATGACCTCTTATATGTCAAAAGATCAAGGAAAATTTGATTTCTCAGTTCATCACCTCTTTAATCTGTCAAGGGCAACTGTAACACCAGTTGTGAAAATAAAATTAGGTAACACTTTATTTTACAGTGTCTTTGCTACACACTTTACTTGTAGTTACTATAGTAATTGCTATTAATTGTGCTTAATTACATGCAACTAACCTAAACCACACCGTAACCTTAACCCTATAGTAAGTGCCTCAACCAAATCCTAATCCTACCCTAACTCTATAGTAAGTGCATGTAGTTAATTATTAATATTACTCAGTACTTAAATGTATAATTACATTGTAACATGGACACCGTAAATTTTAAGGTGTCATTGTTATAATGTAATTATACATTTAAGTACTGAGGAACAACATGTACTTACTGTTATGATAATGAGTTATGGTACCTTTAAGGAAGGTTCTAGTTTATGTTATGCTGTCACTTTAA